ATATATATATATATATATATATATATATAACTACAGTATCATATAGTTTCATTGCCTTAAAAATTCCTAGAATTACATTTGTTCACTCCTTCCTTCCTTTCCCAGACCCATGACAACCACTGATCTTTGTTTCCATAGTTACACTTTTTCTAGAAAAGTATAAAAATATTTTGCTGAAAATATTCTACTGTATGATGTATATCTTCCAAAGGCATAAAATATTGCATTTTTAAAATCAATTCATTAGTTGCTGGATGGATATTTACTTTTTCACTTTTTAGCTCTTATGAATAATGTTGCTATGAATAGTCATGGACAAGCATATGGCTATTTGTTTATCTTTTTTTGAAAAATGTCTATTCAGATCCTTTGCCCATTTTTTATTTTGGTGATTCATTTTTACATCATTTAATTGTAAGTGTTCTTTATATATTTGGATAAAAGTTCTTATCAGATATATGATTTGCAAACATTTTTTCCCATTATTTGATTTGTCATTTCACTTTCTTGACAGTGTCCCTTAAGGCACAAATGTTTTCATTTTGATGATATCCAATTCATCTATTTTTCTTTTGCTGGTTGTGCTTTCGGTGTTATATAAGAACTCATTGCATAATCAAAGGTCACAAAGACTTACACTTATGTTTGCTTCTAAGAGTTTAATAGTTTAGCTCATACTTTGATCTTTGATGCATGTTAACTTTTGTATGTGACTAAAGGCATACAACTTAATTCTTTTGCATACCTCCATTTTCCTTGTTTAAGACTGTTTGGGATATTCGAGGTCCCTTGAATTTCCATAAGAATTTTAGAATCAAAGAGTCTATTTTCCAAACAAACTAGCTAGGATTTGGGTGAGGATTATATTGAGACTATAGACCAATTTGAGCAGGATTACATCCTTAACAATACTAAGTGTCTTATTCCATGAACATGGGATAGAATTCCATTTCTTTTAAGCCTTCTTAAATTTCATTCAACAATGCTTTGTAGTTGTCAGAGTATAAGTTTTACAGTTCTTTTGTTAATTTATTCCTAAATCTATTATCCTTTCAGATGTTACTCTAAATATAGTTTTTTCTTTCTTCCCACATTATAATTCCCCCTTGTGCTCCCTCCTTTTGTGTCCCTTGCACACATCATATCTCCACTCTCCCTGTATTGATAGTTCTGTTATTGGCCCTGGCAGTGGTGCAGAGTACTTCCATGAGTGGATGAATAATTTGTTATATCTTTTGATGTATATGACCCAAAGAATAATTCTTCCCAATAAGGAAATGTTCATGGCAATTTGTAAAATTTTTATATTTTTTCCTTTATAAATACACTATCTTTTCTTTTAACTAACCACTAAACCAGTTCACAAACCCCTAAATAATTAAGAGTTGGATAAACTGCTTTTTATGTAACTTTCCAAGTATTCTGTGTTATCCAGTACAAAATGGTAAATAAGTGACTACACATAAAAATGATGGTAAAATATCAGACTTATATTTGAAGCTAAGCCAAAATCATTTGAACACTGGCAAATTTTCATTGAAAAACTCAGGATTTGCTAGGATGAAATAACAAGTGAGGTTTCCAAATGCAAATACCTTTACATTTATTTGACATTAGCCTCATGTTGCTTTAAAGAGTCATTATATCCTTTTTATGAGAGATGAAAGAAACTAAAAAGAAACTAAAAAGTATAGTATAGAAGGGAAGAGTAGGAGATAAAGAATTTAAAATTTAGATAATAAA